GGAAGCAAGCCTTAACAAAATGTTCACGACCTCCTGGCCGTTGCAACTCTTCGTGCAGTTAACAGCCTTCTGGGCTCACGCGCGCAACGTGCTGCTGCAGCCAACACATGTTCCGGGAAGGAGCAATGATTGGGCAGATGACCTCAGCAGAGGTCGGTTGGCCAGATTCAGCCATCGCCCTGAGAGTCGCGTACGCTTCAGCCCTGCGGTCAGCTGTGTCCGATAGATGCGCCCTGGCGCCCGGAACATCTGGCAGCTGCCTCCAGCAGTGCGTAGCCGAGCCTTATTGCGTCCCAACATGCATCGCGACCCGATAGCCAACCTCGCCCTGGCAACCAGAATACCTGGCTGCGTCGGCCGGCAGCTTGACATCAAGCCGCTTTGACTAAAAAAAAGAGCAGACCCTGAGCGACAGGATGCTCACAACCAAGCGCGTGCGATGTCATGCTTACATGGGTGATGAGGCCGGCGGCCCAGCTGGCTCGCTTATACCGGGGTTGCCTGAAACACTGAAGGGGGGGTCAACGCACCTCCTGCTCCAGGCGCACCCGTGCCCTGGAAGCAGTGCTACTTTCAGCAATCCCGGAAAAAGAACTGCGGCCGCTTCGGACTTGCATTGTTCTTTTGGGTGGTCTTGTTTGGGTTCAAGCTAGGAGCAGTGCAACATGCCTTAACGCTTAGGGTTTTCTTTTCCCTTGTGTTTAGGGCATGTTGTGAATCTACCTACGCGGTGGCCATTTTGATAAAAGCCTTGACCCAAACTTGCTGTTTCATTTGAAACCCACCCACCCACCCTGCACTGCCTTATGCAAGGCTCTGCAAAAGAGAAGTCGCAGACGCTCTGCACTTCCGTTCATGGTCTCCGGACCACTTGGTCTCCGGACCGCATGGTCTCCGGATCATGCAGGTTTGGGCAGAGCCGCAGCTTGCCCTTTCCTGACCGGGTGTGGGCACGCTTGCCACGCCATGCACGCACTGCATGCATTTGCAAGGACACGCGTTGTCTTGCCTTGTAGTTTCACGGGGGGTCAACGCACCTCCTGCTCCATTCGCACCCGTGCCCTGGAAGCAGTGCTACTTTCAGCAATCCCGGTAAAAAGAACTGCGGCCGCTTCGGACTTGCATTGTTCTTTTGGGTGGTCTTGTTTGGGTTCAAGCTAGGAGCAGTGCAACATGCCTTAACTTATCTGTTGGTCATTTTCCTTGTGGTTGTTTGGTTACTTGTGTGGGAAACCCTGAACTTTGGGACCGGGGATTGGTTACCGTTTTTGGGGCCTTTCTTTTTGTAGCTTATTTACCTCAACTAACCCTAGGCTCGTGCCCGAATCACACAAAACAACACTTTCTTCATCAGGCCTGAATAGACTTCCCCCAAAGCCGACAAACTGATGTATTTTGGGCTCCAGCTCCTGGACAATTTGGTGCGAAATGGCAATGACGCGTGAAGCACATTCTCTTGTATCGGTCAACATGTTCAACCCGCGTTGGAATCTTGGCACAATGCTTGCGTGCGCAGCTTGGGGCTCTGCTGTTCAGTTTCGCCCTTTGGCTTACCTTGTGCCACTCGCACCTCAGTCTTAGAGACCCCAATTTCGCGACAGACCAACTGAACATCGATGCAGAGCAGGGCAGGGTCCAGGTTTCAGTCTTAAGCTTTTGAGCACCATGGCCATGGCTCCAAAGAGGAGCGCATCTCACCGGCTAATTTTGCCTTGCGTTCTCATTTGGCTCTTCCACTTTGAAGCGACCTTCAGCATTCTGGAGGGCATCCAAAAAGCTGCCCAAGCCCAGCGCATCAGCCCTGAGAAATTCTTAGAAAATGTGAGCGGCAATGCGGGGGCTTACCAAGAGAGCAATAAGATTGCGGGGCGTGTCGATTTCATGAACTCGTTGAAGGAGGCGGCGCGATGGAGCTTTTTGATTTGGGTGGGTTTGTTGCCTGTTTGTTTGAATGGCAGGAGAGATACAACTCACGATGTCGCTTGAGCCTTGTCAGGCTATGAGAACGAAAGGCTTGCACCTCGTCATCAGTGGTGGATCCCTCGGCACGACGAAGATTTTAAAGACCATGGTTGACCAAGCTGGCGACGCTGCATTGCTCTACGTCGACATGCGTCTCCCGCCCGTGCCCAGCTCGGGAGACGTATTGCAATGCCTGCAAGCAGAAGCCAAACGACGATGGAACGCGAAGAATGTGCCTTCTTGGTTCCCCGATGCCATGTCGGTGCTTGGTGCTGTGTCTGCAGGAGCGGCACAGGCTGTTTCTGCCCTGTTAAATATCAAATCACCTGAAGACTTTGTCACTGCCTTTGGTGATGCAGCAGTGGCTGGTGGACAAGTTCCTGTCATCATGATTGACGAAGCGAACTTGGCGTTCCCCACACATGGTGAGAATGGCAGCGAAAACGCTGCCAAGAGAGAAGCCGCCTCCAAGGCGCTCGCCACCCTCGTAGCATTGACAAAGAAGGTCAGCGTGATTCTCATCGCGTCTGACTATGCCTTCTCACTGGGTCTGCAGGGACTGCGCTTCAACAAGTACGGCTCTCTCAAGTCGATTGTGTGTCCAGAGGTGGAAGAGGAGCCCATGCTGGAAGTGCTCAAAGAGTGGGGTTTGTCTCAAGACCTGGCGAAGGAGTGGTCGACTTTGCACGTTTCCGAGTTTGCTTTTGTTAGCTCAGGCAGCTTGCCCAGGACACGGTTGAATTTGGTGTTCTTCGTGTGGCTGAGTTGCTTGTCATTGATACGAATCGTGCTGCTTTGCAGGAGTTCTACAAGAACTTTGGTGGAAACATCTTTCTATGCCACCAAGCCATTGACAAACTTCAGGAGCAGTTTAGGATGGGTGAGGAAAACCTCTTCCACCCCTTCAACGTCCGAGGCGGCAATGCCTGCGGTGACCTCGTGGGCGACCCGCTCACTCGGAAGCACATGGTGAACTTGGCTGAGAAAGGATGGTCAGCAATAGAGGATGGCACTGCAACAGAGGAGACGGAGAGCCAGAGAGGCGCCCGAGTCATCGCCAAGAGGAACTTCGGCGCCATCATCGAGAGAGAAGCGCCTACTTTCTTGGACCCAGCCTTGAAGGCAGCGATGTTCAGAGACCCCAATGTTGGGCGGGTTCTCCTTTCGCCGACCACCTACGCTCGGAAGTGCATCCAAAGGATGGTGGAGACTATGAAGTCAAGCGCCTTGGACGTTTTCAAAGCCAACAGTGAAGCTTTTTGAGATCAAACTAGATCATCAGATCCTTGAATGGACTCCGTTCAACACAAGGCAGACCTCAACAAGCCGGAGCGGTGTGGGTGAGGCAGCTGCAGCAGGACTGACAAGGGTTGCATCTTTTCCCGAGGTATTCGTTGTGACGAACCCTTCCCAGCTAGCGTTTCCTGCCAGTCATGCCTATCCTGCAAAGTTTGACGCTGTGCATGTGACTTCCAAAAGTCAAGAGATTGGCAGCGGGCAAGTTGGTTGTGCAAGACAACGCCTTGTCATGCGTTGTTCTTGTTACTTGTCGCGGGGATTGATTGCAGGGTTGTTTATTGCTCAGGATTTGTTGAAAGATATCTTCCAAGACGAAAAACTTTGTATGTTGTGCTGCCATGCCCTTTCTTATTCAATGTCCATTCCCTTTTGTGACGCGCAGGAAAGAAGCATTTCCAAAGCCCCCACCTCCAAAGTCCACTGCGTTTGTGAGAATCGCGGAGCCGTTCGTTGAATGGATGGATGTGAACTGGAACGCAGTGCTTGTGGATCTGCGAGGACGGCAAGGACTTTGAGATCGTCGGCAACGCGTTTCAGGTCAAAGGTGTTTTGACAAACGCAGCGACCTCAGCTGGGCCACTGGACAAAGGATTTACCTCAGCTCTGTTTTGCCTTTGGAAATGTTGCTTCGTGCTTTGCGGGGAGGTGAATGACCTCAAGACAGCCCTGCGCTTAGAGCTTGTGAGCCTCGCTAGCTTGCGCTTTCCATTGTAAGCTGTTTGCAGAAGGGTCATGACAAAAGATGGAGGGTTTGAGTGATTTCAACTCTGCTGAGCGTTGCTTGAGGCCATCAAGAAGAAGCAGGAGAAGCCAAATCGAGTGATGTGCGATGCAGATGAAATTGACCTCTACAGCCAGAAGGAGAGCTTTGCGTGTCAAAGCGCACCCCCATTTGTTGCTTTGCGTGTCAACAACACAAACCCATTTGTTCCATTCTCTCACCTCACCCCTTGCCGTGTCTCAGCTTGACTTTGCAGGACGGCCGCTGGGTGAAAGAAGAGAAGATGTCAGCAAGTCTCCGTGAGACAGACAAGCAGAGCACTTGGTTTTGATGCATTTCGACCTCGGGTTTTGCCGTCGCCCAGCTCTCAGGGCAGATTGCTACGGATTTGTGCTGCCAGCTGTACCCATTTCTGCATAGGCGCCTCCCTCAGCAGCGCAGCATTTTACACTTGTGAACTTGCATCGTGGCCAGACCACTGCTGGCTGCGGCCACTTGCTGTTCTAGACTCAGGCAATGCTGCAATGTTTCACCTCGTGCAGTGGGCGCCATCGCTTCGTTGCAGAGTGACTTTGCTTGAAGGGTTAGGAGCTCGATGCTCACAGGAACATGAAGCTGCGGTGTTCAAGACAAGCAGAATACCGGACCAGCAACAGTTGCCGGCGCTGGTCGAAAGCTGCTTTACAGAGGCATTCCCCTTTGTGCGCAGATGCAGTCAACGCAGTACCAAACCATTTGAACATTTGTGTGGAGGAAGGGATTGCACTCGTGGCTTGCCGTGCTTCAAGCGTTGCCGAGCCCTGCTGTGGAATGAGTTCTCAAACCTTTCTTGCAGGGCCCCAGCCCCGAAGTCCAGTTTCAAGGGCCGGCCCAAAGGCCTTTGTTTTTTAGTTCACAGGACGAGTGTTTTTTGTGTCACGCGAGCTCTTTTGCTTGTGGTTTTCGATGTTTTACGTTATATGGGACGGTCTGCTCGAAACTCCTTGTCCATCCTTCCCCTCCTGCTGGATTTGTTGCAATGCGGATTGGGCCCAAGCTGGGTGAGCAACACCCGCAATATGAAATGAGGCGATCCTCAGTGCGTCAAGCATGCCACGGTGTCCACTTCGTTGTGCTGTGCATTTGTTTGACGAATCGCTGTGCGGACAGCTGCAATCCTGAGCAGTGCAAGAGTCTGGTGACCAATTTGAAGGATTGCGTAGACACTGCGTATTTTGGTGGAGGAGACAATTTGATCGCACTGTGCGCAAGGGATGATGGGGCCAAGCTTGCGGTGAGGCTCTCTGTGGTGGAGGACATTCGGCCCAAGTCAGAGTATGACAGCTTTCGAACCATGTACTTGTTTCACAGCAAGGATTTAGCTAGATCTCTTTGCGGGCATGATTGGATCCAGTCCCTGATTGTGCCGAAGCTCCGCAAAGCCATGCAGCAAACCTTGGTGTGGCGCATTCTCAGAACGAGTGAGTACCATGGAGAAATCCGCTGGAGAGACGAGTTTTTATGGAGGAAGATGGTGTTTGCCCCAGCACCGTCCCTGCACGAATGTTTGGCTTGTGTGCAACTATGTTCCAGAGTGCCTGTGCTGAATCAAAACCATCAGCATGTTGCGAACCTATCTAGGTCAGTCCAGATCGGGATCAGCATCATGAAAGGTGTCGATGGGTCCTTCAAAAGCGTATATGAAAAGCTGACAGTCCAAGCCGTTTCCACTATCTTGGTAGGGTACCACTTGGACCTTGCCACAATGGCAGACTCGAACCACTTCCATGATGCACACGAAGGCAACGTGCTCCTCTCTTTGTCTGGCGTAGATTTTCCAGAGATCCGCTGGCATGACTTCGGGGGCAGTTATAAGCCTGCGGGCGGGTTGGTCACGCCAGCTTTGACAGCTGACTTTGTGGGTAAGATTGAGCGCTTTTCCGACACAGGGATCAACTATATCAGGATGACACACCAAGGTTTTGCCTCAAGACTGAATGAGACGCGCAAGAAGTGCACTTTAGTCGGGCAAGAGATGGTACTGGTGCCATTGTGTTTGCGTCAACGCGCTTTCAGCTTGGTGGAAACCATGCTGAACGCGGACGTCATGGACACCTCGGCTCAGCGAAAGCTCTTGGAAAAGATTTCGCTGGGAATGCCCGAGCTGTCCCAAAAGGAGCTGTGGCGACAGTTCTTTGCAGGCAGGTTTGTTTGGCGCATTTACCACGCTGCCAAGAATGCCACCTGCAAGGCGGAGCCGCCTCGCAACCATCCGCTGCGGTGTGGGTCTGTCAGCTGGGAAGCCCTGCCTGGGCCTTACCAGCAGCTGTGTGCGGTTTTGCCTGCCCTGCTGCTTGTGCGTTGCAAGGACGGCAAGGACTTTGAGATCGTCGGCAACGCGTTTCAGGTCAAAGGTGTTTTGACAAACGCAGCGACCTCAGCTGGGCCACTGGACAAAGGATTTACCTCAGCTCTGTTTTGCCTTTGGAAATGTTGCTTCGTGCTTTGCGGGGAGGTGGATGACCTCAAGAAAGCCCTGCGCTTAGAGCTTGTGAGCCTCGCTAGTCTTGCGCTTTCCATTGTAAGCTGTTTTGCAGAAGGGCGATGACAAAGATTGTCCATCTTTACACCTCTTGCAACCCATCAAATCAGGCAATCAAAGCGGAAGAGGAACTGTCCATCGCAGCATCCAAGATCGATGTATACAGCCAGAAGGAGGGCTTTGCGTGTCAACAACACAAACCCATTTGTTCCATTCTCTCACCCCTTGCCGTGTCTCAGCTTGACTTTGCAGGACGGCCGCTGGGTGAAAGAAGAGAAGATGTCAGCAAGTCTCCGTGAGACAGACAAGCAGAGCACTTGGTTTTGATGCATTTCGACCTCGGGTTTTGCCGTCGCCCAGCTCTCAGGGCAGATTGCTACGGATTTGTGCTGCCAGCTGGACCCATTTCTGCATAGGCGCCTCCCTCAGCAGCGCAGCATTTTACACTTGTGAACTTGCGTCGTGGCCAGACCACTGCTGGCTGCAGCCACTTGCTGTTCTAGACTCAGGCAATGCTACAATGTTTCACCTCGTGCAGTGGGCGCCATCGCTTCGTTGCAGAGTGACTTTGCTTGAAGGGTTAGGAGCTCGATGCTCACAGGAACATGAAGCTGCGGTGTTCAAGACAAGCAGAATACCGGACCAGCAACAGTTGCCGGAGCTGGTCGAAAGCTGTTTTACAGAGGCATTCCCCTTTGTGCGCAGATGCAGTCAATGCAGTACCATATTATTTGAAGATTTGTGTGGAGGAAGGGATTGCCGTGGCTTGCTGTGCTTCAAGCGTTGCCGAGCCCTGCTGTGGAATGAGTTCTCAAACCTTTCTTGCAGGGCCCCAGCCCCGAAGTCCAGTTTCAAGGGCCGGCCCAAAGGCCTTTGTTTTTTAGTTCACAGGACGAGTGTTTTTTGTGTCACGCGAGCTCTTTTGCTTGTGGTTTTCGATGTTTTACGTTTTTGGACGGTCTGCTCGAACTCCTTGTCATCCTGTCCGTCCTTGCTTGGATTTGTTGCAATGCGGATTGGGCCCAAGCTGGGTGAGCAACACCCGCAATATGAAATGAGGCGATCCTCAGTGCGTCAAGCATGCCACGGTGTCCACTTCGTTGTGCTGTGCATTTGTTTGACGAATCGCTGTGCGGACAGCTGCAATCCTGAGCAGTGCAAGAGTCTGGTGACCAATTTGAAGGATTGCGTAGACACTGCGTATTTTGGTGGAGGAGACAATTTGATCGCACTGTGCGCAAGGGATGATGGGGCCAAGCTTGCGGTGAGGCTCTCTGTGGTGGAGGACATTCGGCCCAAGTCAGAGTATGACAGCTTTCGAACCATGTACTTGTTTCACAGCAAGGATTTAGCTAGATCTCTTTGCGGGCATGATTGGATCCAGTCCCTGATTGTGCCGAAGCTCCGAAAAGCCATGCAGCAAACCTTGGTGTGGCGCATTCTCAGAACGAGTGAGTACCATGGAGAAATCCGCTGGAGAGACGAGTTTTTATGGAGGAAGATGGTGTTTGCCCCAGCACCGTCCCTGCACGAATGTTTGGCTTGTGTGCAACTATGTTCCAGAGTGCCTGTGCTGAATCAAAACCATCAGCATGTTGCGAACCTATCTAGGTCAGTCCAGATCGGGATCAGCATCATGAAAGGTGTCGATGGGTCCTTCAAAAGCGTATATGAAAAGCTGACAGTCCAAGCCGTTTCCACTATCTTGGTAGGGTACCGCTTGGACCTTGCCACAATGGCAGACTCGAACCACTTCCATGATGCACACGAAGGCAACGTGCTCCTCTCTTTGTCTGGCGTAGATTTTCCAGAGATCCGCTGGCATGACTTCGGGGGCAGTTATAAGCCTGCGGGCGGGTTGGTCACGCCAGCTTTGACAGCTGACTTTGTGGGTAAGATTGAGCGCTTTTCCGACACAGGGATCAACTATATCAGGATGACACACCAAGGTTTTGCCTCAAGACTGAATGAGACGCGCAAGAAGTGCACTTTAGTCGGGCAAGAGATGGTACTGGTGCCATTGTGTTTGCGTCAACGCGCTTTCAGCTTGGTGGAAACCATGCTGAACGCGGACGTCATGGACACCTCGGCTCAGCGAAAGCTCTTGTGAAAAGATTTCGCTGGGAATGCCCGAGCTGTCCCAAAAGGAGCTGTGGCGACAGTTCTTTGCAGGCAGGTTTGTTTGGCGCATTTACCACGCTGCCAAGAATGCCACCTGCAAGGCGGAGCCGCCTCGCAACCATCCGCTGCGGTGTGGGTCTGTCAGCTGGGAAGCCCTGCCTGGGCCTTACCAGCAGCTGTGTGCGGTTTTGCCTGCCCTGCTGCTTGTGCGTTGCAAGGACGGCAAGGAGCCTGAGACCATTGGCAGCGCGTTCAAAATCACTGCTAGTGTTTCAGATGCCCACGCCTCAGCTGCGCCACTGGATAAAGGATTTACCTCAGCTCTGTTTTGCCTTTGGAAATGTTGCTTCGTGCTTTGCGGGGAGGTGGATGACCTCAAGAAAGCCCTGCGCTTAGAGCTTGTGAGCCTCGCTAGCCTTGCGCTTTCCATTGTAAGCTGTTTTGCAGAAGGGCGATGACAAAGATTGTCCATTTTTACACCTCTTGCAACCCATCAAATCAGGCAATCAAAGCGGAAGAGGAACTGTCCATCGCAGCATCCAAGATCGATGTATACAGCCAGAAGGAGGGCTTTGCGTGTCAACAACACAAACCCATTTGTTCCATTCTCTCACCCCTTGCCGTCTCTCATCTGGACTTTGCAGGATGGCCGCTGGGTCAGAGAAGATGAAGAAGCAGCAGTCAAGTGCGGCAGATCCAAGCCCTGCACTTGGATTCGATGCCTTTCAACTTTGGGTTGTGCCGTCGCCCAGCTGTCAGGGCAGACTGCTACGGATTCATGTTACCAGCTGGAGCTGCTGGAGCCGCATAGTTTGAGGCACCTCAGCAGCGCAGCAGTGCTCTACACTTGTCAACTTGCATCGTTGCCAGGCTGCTGCTAGCTGTGGTCACTTGCTATTCTCGGCTGAGGCAATGCTGGGGCACAACGTTTCACCTCGTGCAGTGACAAAAGGGTGCAGTCGCGGGCACAGTTGTTGCGTTGCAGTGCGACTTTGCTTGACTCTTGAAGCGCAAGGGAGGTCAATGTTCACACTTGTGAACATCAGGCTGCGGTGTTCAAGACTGCTGTGTTCAAGACAAGCAGAAAATGTGCGTGCAACGGGTAGCAAAGCGCTAGTCAACAGCTGTTTCACCGAGACATTCCTAGTTGTGCCGAAGTGCGCAGATGTAATACCGAACCATTTGAAGAGGTGCGGAGGAAATGATTGCGCTCGTGGCTTGCCAGTTTGATCTTTTTGAGGCAACTTGTGCACAATTGTTGCTATTTGTTGAGCGTGGCGCTCAGAGAAGCTTGTTGAAGAGCAGACCCACACTGCTGCGAGGCGGCATTGCCTTGCAGGTGGCATTCCCTGTGTCCACTGACCCTGAAACTGGTAAGCTTCGAAATCAAATAGATCGTCCATCCGACTGGAAAGCAACAAGAGCTTTTGCCCAAGGGCGCGTCAGCTTTCATCAAAAAGCGTTGCTCCAAGCTGGGCTCAAACGCTTCCATGTGAAGTTTGATACACTTTAAGCAACATCTGCAGCGACATGATATCACGACCGTAAACTGACGACAACGGACGGATCGCGACCTTAAGCTGACGGATCACGACCTTAAACTGACGAAAGCGGGCGTGCGGGCGTACGTGCGTGCGCTGCGTACGTGCGTGCGTGTGTGTGTGTGTGGGTGCGTGCGTGCGTGCGTGCGTGCGTGCGTGCGTGCGTGCGTGCGTGCGTGCGTGCGCGTGCGTGCGTGCGTGCGTGCGTGCGCGGACGGAAGCTGACGGATCACGACTAGAAGCTACCGGAGCAAGCGCGCAAAGCGCGAAAAACCGAGAAAATGCGCCGCGTCACGCTGGCTTGTGCAACGCGCAACCCGTTTCAGGACGCTTTCTCTGGAAATTCGGCGAGCTTGACAACACGAAGCGGCAAAACGACAACCCGCGCACAAACTGACGACCGGGATGGGCTAGAGACCCCCCCAACCCACTCTCTCACCAAGTGCGCGGTGTGTTAAAGGGCTTCGCGCATTGCCAACGACTTGTGTCTTCAACGTGTAAGAAGGGACACCTGCCAAACACGGTTTGATGAGGGAATGAGTGAGCGGCGTTCGAAACCATGGACGCTTGACTTTCTGGCACGGGCTGTCCGTCAAGGCGCGGAGCTGCGGGCCGACCCAGCAGGCACGCCGCGCGCAAGAAACTTGCTGGTTCACGCCAGGCAGCTCACGCCCACTTGCGTTCCACTTGGTTTTCCCAGCGTTGAGACGGATGCGCGCTTGTTGCCAGAGCCAATCGAAAATCGCCATTTGCGTGACTTCTCTATTTGAGGTGAGCGCCTCCTCCACAACATTGATGACGTGACACTGCACAGTCGCTGCCTTCTGTTGGCTGCAATTGCTGCTGGCAAATCACGTTTGCGTCCAGCTGGTCCGGACTTGCAATGTGCTAGGTTGCTAATTTTTTGTTTGATTGTTTGTTTGTTTGTTTGGGTTTGTTCGGTGCACACCCGTTTTTTTGGTAGCTTGGGTTTGCTTGGGTCTGCTCATCAAAGTGACTTGTAAGGTGCATCAGATTGGCTTGTATCTTTGTAAGGGATCAATGAGACTTGTGAAGGATCAAATTGTTGTTTGTTTTGGATTGGCTCGTGAAGGGGGTCAGATTGACTTGTTCAGAGCATAAAATTGGTTTGTGAGCATCAGATTGGCGTGTGGAAGGGGTTAGATTGACTTGTTTGAGTATTCTGGTGTTGGAGCATCAGATTGACTTGTTAATGCGCATGGGAGATGTTGAAAGTAAGAAAAGATGTAAATCGAAGTTGCTTCCTTGCGTGCGTCGAAGAAAAATCTCTTTTTTGGTTTTGTTTTGTTTAACTTCGACTACCGATCGAAGTGATTGTTCGGCGACGATCGCTTGCTTTTAAAGAACAAGCAAATGTGATCTTGAACAAGGTGCGGTTGTTTGGCTGTTTGATGCTGGGATCGTTGCGCCAAATTATGAGAGACGTAAAACGCAGCTGTTTGCGAGTTGTTTGGCAGCCGGCTTGTTGTCGAGCGGAAAAGCTTAGATGACGAGTCTGTTCTTTTTTTTGTTTGCTTGGAGCAACTGTAAGTTGTGGTTTGGGGTAACCACGCGTTCGTGCCAAGGTTCTTTTGAATTCATCGTGGCTTGGTCAGGTGTTTTTTTGGTTGCGTGCAGGCGTGACGTTGCGCGCAACTGTGTTGGGGCTTGCCAGCTTTCGCGCGCTAATGTCGCTGAAGATCATTCGTTGTTGTTGGTGGTCAGGTTTGGCCGCACGGTTGCTTAAGGTTTAGAACAGGCCCGGCGTTCGGCGCGGCGCTAGCTCCTGCGCAAGCCGAGAGTTTAGGGGTTGTGTAGCCGGCTGCGTGCGCTGTTTCGCGTCTAACACGATTGTTTCAGATTGCTCTGGGTGCCCGTTGCGCGGTCAGATTTTGAAGGTGGATCCGTCCCCTCTTAATGGACCTACGCTAGCTCGGGCAAGAAGGTTTTGGCAAGCGACACGTGCAGCTTGGCAAATTTTGTGCCGCGATACTGTTTGGCAGGCAATGTGTGCAGTTCTTAAGGTTCTCTATATCCAGCGGGTGTTCTTGCCAGGTGTGTGCGGGCTTGCGCGCTAGCGCAACAGCACAAGTGAATTTGATCCCCCACAAGCCAATTTGACCCCTCCCACAAGCCAATCTGATCCTTCAATGCTTTGCCAAGTGAACAAGCCAATCTGATTGATCCCCAGCCCGTTAGAAAAGGGATGGCGAGACACATTTCTTGGGGTTGGATTTTGGTTCTGATTAACAACGTTTGTATTTGAGGAGTCTCAGCTTGAGGCTTATATACCATTCATCCAATATTCAATGGGATATCACCCAACGTCTCTTTGGCTTGCTGGTTCCTGACGTGAATTTGTTTGACACGTCAGGCATATTGCGCGCGCCATCCCACCTCATTTTTTCCGTTTGGAGAGCGGGCTGACGGGCCCTATTTTGGGGTGGCTCTTTGGACATTTTTTTTTAAACATCCTTCACCTGCTGAGACGGACAACTGCGGCAACCATGCCAAGCTGACAGACATTGACGACAAATATACGATTCATGGCGACGTAAAGTGAGAAAAAACCAAAATGGCATGACTGAAAGTGCTTTCCCTGTAATGCAATGTCACATAAGTAATGTAGCATGGCAGAGGCTGTACACTCCGTGATATCACTACCATGTCTTCCAATTCTTCTCCGTCATTCAACCGCGCAATGCAATGTTCTTGTTCAACATGGCAGTTCACCTGGGGATCCCCAGGCAACTATCATTGAGGGATTTCTTAATTAAATCTGAAAACTATTTGACGGAACGTGTGGCAGAATGTTGGCAGTGTAAATGTTTTTTTGGTGCGACTTGGCATGCATAGTTCCTTGACGGTGGATGCGCAACTCAATGCAGACCCATCGTGGTTCCATGCATGCCGGCGCAGCCGCATGCTTGGAAAGCCAAAACCAAGTTACATTTTTTGTTTCGCGGGGGCCTGGAATCCTGATCGGCGCCTGCGCGATTTTTTGCGAGGGAGGATTGGGACCTGGCGGTTGGCCGAGGGCGGTGGGCGTGAGGTGCTCAATTCACGTTGGGGAAGCCTAGGATGGGCGTATTTGTGGCCTCGGGCTACGAGGGTTAGAACTGAACTGTTGGTGCATTTTGCCAAGGGATGTTAGGACTTTAACTTTTTGCCAACTCATGGGTTTTCCATTAAACAACTAAAAGTTAAACTTTTAGCCGGGAATCAGAGAGCAACCGAGTGAAATGGTTGGACACCAATCCCCAAGGAAGTGATGGACGATTGCAAGAATCATTTGCATGTGAGGTCCGTTTTCGAGGAGACACGCTTTTTGTGACGCCGCGCTGCAAAAGCTCCTTTTCCTTGTTGGTTTGGGGGGTACGGGTGAGCACAATCTCGTGTTGCGATTCGCGATGGGTTCCCCAAGGGGCAAGCTTCATAAGTGATACGTCCCATCCGAGCATGTTCGCGTGCACGCGAACCGGTGCACGTGCGGGCCAGTTTTGCGGGTCGCAAAGAGGATGTGAGCCAAGGGAGGCGGGCCTGAGGCGGGTGGTGTTTTTGTGCCAAAGTGCCGCTTGGGTGGGGTATGGTGGGAAGTGCAGATGTGGGCCTTCCCATGGAATCTTGCAGCCCTAGCTCTTTCAGGTACTTGCAGGCTCAAATCATGCTGACTAAGCTCAACTCAAAACCCGAAACACCGCGCAAAATGATCAGGCAAACCATCCATGGATTCTATTTCTGTTGCTTTGGATGGCTTGGTGTCGTTCACGAGGTCTTTTGCCGCGTCCGTCACGCGAACATTCCATGTTTCCGGTGCATGTGCCATTATTTTTCCTTTCTCCGCCACAATGACATGGCTACGTGCGCATGCTACGCCCTGCGCCTTGCAACGTGCGCGCACGGAGGACATCAGCAAGGTTGATCTCGTTCAAGACCTGCGGCTGCCAGTTCCACCCCCCTGGCACTTGCCTTCGCCCAGCTACCTTGGCGCTTTCCTCCGCGCTCGGTTGGGCTCCGGCCACGCAGGCGCCACACGGAACGCGTCCGAACGTGGGAGCTGTGCCGCAGCCTGGCCAGCAAAGGCCTCGAGCAGCGTCTCTTACACTGCGTGGAAATACTCGTCAGCTTCGACGAAAGAAGCAAGAGCGGCGCCGACATCTTCTGGGGCCGCCTCTTGCAAGCGTTGCACCGTGGGCAGCCAGGCATGCAGCAGGGGCGCATACAACCAGGAATTGCTCCAGGTGGAAACAGCGCCAGACGGAGGCCCCGT